GCCTACACGAGAAGGCCAAATCGAATGATTTTTTTTATTTTGAGTTATATGCATTTCTTATCAAATGGTGAAAACTGCATATTATGGCATACATATGATGAAGTTCTAAAAATTCTCTTTTACAGTGATGGAGCTAATCTAAGTGATGTGGGATGGATATTTCTGCAGCAGATGTTTACAGAAAAGTTGGGAGATTTATCTCTACTGAAAATTCTTAAGGACATATTTGTTTAAATTGGATATCATGAATATGGTTCTTTTGAGGTGATTATAGACAACCAAGTGGCTGATATAGATCATTATATTCTATACCATAAATGGCATCATGTGGTTGATGCATTCCTCATTGAATAATATGTGAATCTGAATCTTGTGGAATGTAAAAAAGAGGAAGGAGTTTTTGAATGCTTCGAACTAGTAATACATCTTGCATGAGTTTCAGCAAAAGTTCAATTATTTTCCAACTCAATCCAACCTCCAAGCTCGCATGCGCACGGTGATCAGGAATGCTTAAAGGCTTTATTTTTTGTTGAATTTTGTTAAGTGTGTTAGTTTGCTATATTCTACATTGTTGTAAATGTTTATTAACCTTTTTGGAAGTTTATGTTTGAATGTGACTTTTGCTATGAAGTTGTTATTAATGTTGGACTATTCGTTATGAGTTAAGCTTCTGTTATAAAATTTTATTTTTCTTCAAATAATTAATCCTACAATTTTAAAAATTGTAATCCTACATGTTACTATTAATAGTTCATATAAAATATATTTCTTATATACTATTTTTTAAAAATTTATAAATTATGACATAATGCTTTGTTATATGTATTTAATTTAATTTAACTCGCTATTCAACTTGTAAACTACAATTAATTTAAAACTACCTATTATTTAGGATTGGGCTAATTTTTTATAAAACTACAAGATGCATAGAAGAAGTAAAATGAATAGTACATCATATTAAAATAAGAAAATGCATCATGGTTGATCACTACAAATGTCAACATTATCAAAAGGCAACATCATATAAAATACAAACAAAACATCAACTAATACCTCCTACATCCCTAAGGGGTAATGCATTACTACCAGGAGTGTAATGCTATGGTGGAAATATAAGTCTATCATGTAGCATATGCTGCTCATCCCGAATGATTCCATAGTGCTCTACACCAACTACGGCTGGCTTTGAAACAATCGCTGATATAGTGCTTGGAACACTCTTAGGTGGGAACCATGCTGGTGTAGACTTTTGAGTAGGCTGAGTGAAGTAATCCTGACCTGGTCCTAAGTCTTTAAACGATGATGGTCCTACAACCATAGGATGGGGATTGTCTATCACCAGACTTGAGATGCCAACTGTATACCCTATATATGCATGCTCTACATAATGCTTATAAAAAATATGAATCTCTCTTTGTAGATCCATTGACATCTCTATTATTCCATTAATAACACTTTTAGTATATGTGCAGTCATTAGAACTCACCAAAGGTATCACTGCCCTCTCTGTGTCCAGGAAAAATTTATGCAAAAGGGAAGAATTGATTGATTATTAGGTGAAATTTCTCTATTTACCTTACATAATAACATGTACAACATGTAAATGTTACTAACCATGTACTACTCTGAAGGTGCTCGAGGGTAGTATACCGTTGACGATGTTGAAGGAGACTTAAACATGTTTAATATTTCCCATGACCTAAATAACTATAGGTACTGCTGAATAAATTGCTCAGTATTTTCTACAACACAAATTCCTTCAATAATGTATGCTTGTCTATCCTCTCACAATCTAATATATGCTAGATGGTACACCCAGTTAGTATCAGCTTTACCACACTTATCTACTTGAATAAATTTGGGCTCCATAGGATTAACCTTAGTAGTAGGGACAAACCTAAACTATCAAATGACTCTATCTGGTAAGTGCCAATTCACATCCGTTCAACTAACTAGAGGCACACAAGCCATCCAAATTGCTCCTCTTTAAAAGTTTGTAATCGTTATTAAACCTTATGGAACTAGCAGGAGGCTCACCAAGAAAGGGGGGTGGGGGGGTGGAAATTGATGATTTAAAGAAAAGTTCTTCACTTCAAACTAACAATAATAATAATTTTGAAAAACCTATTAGTATTTAAAAATACCACATTCTAATTGATTGTGGAAGCGATAGATTTGATCAAAAATATTAAATTTTATCACGATGAAATTTTGATCTATGTGATGGAGGAATAATCAAAAATTTTTTCCAAGTAATTATTAATGGAAATGAAATGCAGGAAATGTAAAAGTGCAAAAAAGAAAATAAAATACACCATAGATTTTTATAGTAGTTTGGTCAACCATGACCTACGTCCACTCCTTGGAGTCCTCCACTCTGAGTATTGCACTAACACAAGGTGACCCTTTTTTGCACCCTCAACAAGGCAAAGAAGCTCTTACAGACTTACTTTGACTAGACTCTTGATGTGGTGGACTACCGGATGCTATGTCACCCTCCCAGTGATGGAAACAAACCTTGACTCATTTTTCTCCCTCCTAGAGAAGGAAGAGAAACTTAGCTCCTTATTCTCCCTCCTAGAGAAGGTAGAGTATCAGCTCCTTTTTCTCCCTCGTAGAGAAGGCAGAGAACCTCAAGGACTTGAATAAGAAGCCTCTCTCCCTAGAGAGTTTCAAAAAGACTCACCAAGGACACAAGAGGAGCAAGGATGCAACTAGAACAAAGCAACCATGTGATCTCCTCACACTACTTCTCCCTCATCCTCAAGCTCACCATCTCCTTCCTCTCTCAAACCCTGATTTTCTTCTCAAAAGCTTCTCTCTCAGAGTTCCTTCTTAAGTCATACGTTCCTCTCTCTATTTTCAACAAAATCTTAAAACATAGCTTAAGTATTAAGCTTCATGAAACCCTAAAAATTCAAGTTATCCATCACTATTTGTATAGTATGAACTTGGATTATACAGTATGATTAGTTCAAAACTAGTCCCATCTAGTACGATGTAAACATTTATTCAAACAAATTGTTAAATTAATTTGAGCACATTATAATATATGATCTTGAGATAGTCCAGTATAATATAATTAATTTTCTCTATTCATTTTGAATAATTCCTAGGATGACGGACTTTGCTAATCATCATATACTTATCTCTTTATACAATATGATTAGTTCATTTCAAGTAGGTCATCCAGTATGATATGAATATCGTATAATATGATTAGTTCAAAAATTATGGTTTCATTTGGTACAATCTTTGGGATAACCAAATTGTATCTCTGCTAATCATTTGGTATTATTGATATTGTACAGTATGATCGACTATCATTAATTAAACCATGATTTGATTGACTAATTATAGAGTTTAATTTTAGCAAGATTTTATATATTCATACAGTACAATTCATATCGTACAATACAATTTGTTCAGCAATCAAATTTCAAAATCTTAATTAAATTAATTTAGAGGCTAAGGTTTTTAGGTCATAACAAATCATATAGTATAATCCAAATAATACGGCATAATTAGTTTACAAAAACTAATTATTTAATTATTCTTTAAGCCTATTTTTAGATAATCAGATCATATAGTATGATGGTAAATCATATAATATGATTAGTTAAAAAAATTAACTTTAAAATTTTTTTCTCTCCCTATGTGTGTGTACATGGTCAGCCAGTTTTGCATACACTCTTATATGGTCAACCTCAAGAAGTAGATAATAAAGAAAATAAAATTATAGACTCTTTTAAATTTTATTCTACCCAATCTTGAGTCATCATCAGTCTTGAGCGGTTTATATCTATCTGAAATATTAGTATTCACAAACAAAAGTAATATCTAAAATATTTAGTGAGAAAAGTAATAGTTAAAAAAAAAGTTTGTCATCATCAAAATCATATTTTAGGGATCTTGGATTGCAACACTCTTGATAAGCATATGTCACCTACTTGAGAGGAAACTTTCGTTGTGTATGACTCCCAAGTTACCTACCAAAGAAAAGAAATTTCCATTAACTGTCTTCAAACCGATAAAATTGAATTAGTTAGAGAAATTTTGCTAGTAACAATGCATACATAATCTAAATTAATTTCATGAAAACACCGTTCTAGAGAGAGAAGCTCCCGTTTGGTTCTAGAGAGAGAAAGTTCCTGTTTGAAATTTTTTTCAAATATTGTCATTACCGGTTTTTCCTCCTTGAATTTGGGAGGGAGGAAGGACATAGAGGCGGATTGCCGCCAGTCAACAGTGGCTTCGACTGGTAAATCATCTTCTGTAGGCGGAGTGGTTATGCATAACAAATCTGATCAAGGGTGGGAGTTATCTAGATATGACCGTGATGTAGAAGATATTCGTAGACGAAGATTGAAAGGTAAGTTAATCATCTCTGAAAATGTTGGCTTTCATTCAGAGAAGACTAAAGAGTTGTTGATGGAAAAGGAAAAAACATTCCTTTGATAGCTGGTAGCAAGACTCCATGAAATTTGAAATCGATTGGATTTTCTCCAGATAAATCTTTAGATCCTGATGCGTCATCTTCTTGTATAAAAATTAATGTGAATAGATTTTTGAATTCAAATGCAATCCTTGTTTATGATAGTAAGATAAATGCGAATTTGTCGGATCCAATTGACAAAAATATTCATAATAATATTGAGATAATAGAAGATCCTTTGGAGAATGCTGTGGTGAATAATGCATGTGTTGCGGTCCCGGTGTTTGAGAAAATGGATGAAAATATTGAAGAAGGTAACAAGTTGAATAATCCGTGGAGTAAAAAACCTTATATCAAGTTGAATTTCAATAAAGAGGATGTGGTATTATCCGAAGATGGGAAAGCTGTCAAGTTGGTTGAATCTGCTGAAATTTTGAGTGCTAAGAAATTAGAGCATTGACTTGTTGCTAAAGTTTTTGGCAAGGAACTTCCTTCCCATGAAGTTGCTTGGGAGTTGAGAAGACAATGGGCTCTATTTGGGCAATTCCACTTTACAACCTTAGGAATGGGTTGGTATTTATGCTCTTTCAAGTCATTGGAGGCAATGGAAGGAGTGATATCTGGAGGGCCTTGGTTTGTTAATGGCCACATTGTGGGAATGGAAAGATGGGCAATTGATTTTTCTCCTAGCTCAACGAAAGGACTAACTTCTCCGATATGGATTAGAATGCCACAATTACCTCTTCAATGTTGGGATGAAAACAATGTGGCTATGATTACTTCTATGATAGGTGTTCCCTTGATGTTGGATGGAAACAAGTTCCAATGGGGAAGGAGGGAGTTTGCTAGGTTTTGTGTTCGTGTGGAGCTAGACAAACCACTTCCCCTGGGTGTTTGGGTGGAAGGATTGGGTGGGAGATTCTTTCAAAAAGTTGAATACGAAAGAATTTCATCTTTTTGTTATGAAGGTGGCTTGATAGGGCATGATAAAAGCAAATGTAATAAGAGTAAAGTGGTGGAGAATAAAATTGTGGATACTTCTAGTACTCTAAGCCAAGGTAACAAAAAACATGATAAGGAGATGAAAGATAGTTATGGTCCATGGGTCCATGCAAACTATAGAAGAAACAAAATGCTTAACAGGGAAATGCCCAAGCTGAGACCAATTCAGGAAAAAGCATAAATGAAGTATCAAAGCAAAATGAATAATGTTCTTGTTGAAGAATTTCAATTGATCAAAGACAAAGAAACTTTCGGTATTAATGAAGAACTACATAGCAATGCTAGCAATCAGTTGCTAGAAGAAGGGAAAATCATATCAGAGGAAGATAACTGTAATGCTATATCTGCATTACAAGATGAATGTGACAACACAGCTGGGAAGATGAATGAAGAAATTTTGAATGCCAAGGTATTAAAATCTACTAATAACTCTACTCCTATACATGTGCCCAGCATGTTTTAAGCTTTAAGTGATAATGTGGAACCAAATTTATGTTCTGAGAAGGATAATAAAAATTTTGTGAAGGGAAGTAAAGGTGATATTCAAAATATAAATGAGAGGGAAAGCTACAGTATGCAGGTAATTGAAAACTCAGAAATGATTGAAAATAAGGAGATAGGGGGTCACACTGAAGGAAACAAAGTCAAACATGCCAAGGAGCTGAAATCTCTCAGGCCAATAAAACTACTACCTCGGGGTAGAACTGTGGATGGAAATGGTAGAATAAAAGTGGGGGATCACCCCCATTGGTTGATCAATGAATTCCATAGCTTTTTGGAATTGTAGAGGGGCCAATAAGAAGGAAGCCTCTCTCTATTTGAAAGATTTTTTTAAAGATTATAATGTATTTTTTGTTGGTCTGATAGAGACAAAAATCTCTGTACTGGACAAATTATCTTTCCAAAAAATGTTTGGAGTGGATTGGGATTTCCATATTTTCCCTTCAGCTGGCATGTTAGGTGGAATCATGGAAATGTGGAGATCAGACAATGCTTCTTTTTCTATTTTAAAGACTTCTGAGCAATGTATAGTTGGAGATTTGGAAGTATTTAACAAGGGAACCTGGATGGTTTCCATGGTCGACGGGAGTAGGGATGTTATGAAAAGGAAGGAATTATGGGATTGTCCTCAAGAAGTATCACATAGGAAGGTTCCATCTGTGATAGGAGGAGACTTTAACTATATTTTGGCCCAAGAGGATAAAAAAGGAGGAAGTACATTTTCTCTCAAGGTTCAAAAGATATGATAAATTTCATGAATCTCAATGATTTTCATGAAATTGGAGTGGTTGGTCCAAGATATACTTGGTACAATAACAAAAGTGGAGGAGCAAGAAATTTTAGAGAGATTGGATAGATTCCTGTTGAATTGTTATGCTTTGGAAAAAATTCAATTGGTGGTTGAAAGGCATATTGCTAGAATAGCATCTGATCATTGCCCGGTTATCCTAAAAATATTTGAGCCAGTTGAGAAGAAAAAGAAGATTTTAAAGTTTGAGAATGTATGGTGTACTTTCATGCTTCTTCAAGTATTATTTAAAAAGTTTAAAGAAAATCCTTTATGGGAGATGAAATGCAAATTTTAAATATTAAATGCAAAAGAACCTTGAAGGAGTTGTTCTTTTGGAGCAAAGCTAAAATGAAATATTTCTTACTTCTTAAGGAAGTGTTGAAAAAAGAGATTTTGAATATTCAAGAAGAGGAGGCGGTAGAAGGTGGGTTAAGTGAAGAAAAGTTGGAATCATTGATAAGAAAGGTGGGAGAACTTAATGTTCATCTTGGTAGATTAAATAATTGGTGGAGGAAAAGAGCCAAGGTAAAGTGGATAGAAGAAGGGGATTCAAATTCTAAATAATTTCATGCATTTCCAAATGCAAGGAGAAACAGCAATTGGATCAACCATGATAAAGAAGCTAATGGGATCTTGGTGGATGACCCGAAGGAGATTGAAGACATTTTTCTGAAATTTTTCAAATCAAAATGGAGGAGTAGGGAATGTTCCCTACTGAGTTGGCCGGCTGATGCTAGTGTGTTGGATGATGATGATAAAACATCTCTGAATGCAGATTTTAACAATTTAGAAATTCTGAATGTAATAAAAAATTTGGGAGAGAATGTAGCACTAGGTTATGATGGTATAACCTTTTCTTTCTTCAAATTTTATTGGAATATAGTGGGAGAAGATGTATGCAAGGCAATAAATAAATTCCTTTCTTCGGGCAAGCTCTGTGAAGAATGGAAAGCGACATTGGTTGTGCTGATTCCAAAGGTCAAAAATCTAGTATCTCCTTCAGGATATAGACCAATAAGCCTTTGCAACTCCATTTACAAAATTGCAACTAAAGTACTATTGAATAGGATGCTGTTCATAATTCATAAAGTGATTTCAGAAGAACAAGTTTCATTTGTCAAAGGGAGAACAATTTTAGACCATTTACTCTTGGCTCAAGAAGTTTGTAACAAAATCAGGTGGTCTAAAGCTAGAGAAGGTTATTTGGCCATCAAGATAGACATGGAACAAGCATATGACATCATGTGTTGGGAGACTTTGAAGCAAATGTTGATTATATTGGGTTTTCCAAATAAATTCTCAGATTTATTGATGGAATGTGTGAAGAACCCGGTGTTCTCTATAATGATCAATGGGAGCATCTCTACTTGGATAACGAGAAAATCTGGATTTTGGCAAGGATGCCCTCTATCTCCCTTATTATTTATTATTTGTTCACAATTATTATCTAACTCTTTCTTGGATAGAAGCTTGGATATTTGTGTTAAAGTATCACAAAATGCAAGGAAGATTTCTTACCTATTATATGCAGACGACATTCTTCTCTTCTCGGATGCAAAAATGAAGAACATCAATGTATTAAAGAGGTTGATTCATAACTATTGGTATTGGACCGGTCAGAAGGTAAATCTCCAAAAATCCTCTATTTTAATGCGGAAGAATATAGGGAGAAGAAAGAAGAAACGGATTGCTAAAATACTCAACATGAAAGTACATGATGAAATGGAGAATTTGGGTATTAAATTAGCTTTGAGGAGATTGATAAAAATAGATTTTCAAAATCTATTGGATAAAGCTTCTAAAAAACTCTATGTTTGGGGTAATAGATTTATCTCAATGGCGGGAAGAATAACATTATTAAAGAATGTTTTTCTTACTCTTCCCTTATTTTCTTCTTCTCACACCATTGTTCCTTTGAGCATTTTAAAAGAGTTTGACAAGGCAAGTAGAAATTATTTGTGGAATAAACATGATGGGTCACATGGATTTCATTATATGGCATGGGATACTTTATGCAAACCTAAAGAATAAGGAGGCTTGGGTCTTTTTTCAGCCGTCTCTAGAGTGGGTTCTCTTAGAGCAAGATTTGCTTGGAACCTACTTGATAGTCCAAACTCTTTGCTCAATAGAAATATCAGGGATAAGTATGGTTCCTGCTGGTGGATGAATGAGGGGAGAAAATGTTCTTCAAATACGTGGAAAATTTTGATGAATGGATGGAGTTCTCCTAAGGGGATCTTAAGATGGAACATAGCCAATGGATCATTGATTGATATTCAAAAGGATGTATAGATACTTGATAAAAGCCTTGATAGATGGCCGACATTTGTAACCAATTGGGAAGAGGATAATATAAATCTCAACTCTTTTATAGTTAATGGAACTTGGGATGTGCCAAAAATTTCCCATTTTTTTGGGGAAGAACTCATAAATCTGATCACTAAAGTTGATATTCTACAGAATTTGGAGGAAGACATGTTGGATCTTAAACTCAAGTTATCTGGCAAAACGGTCTTTGGTCTTTCCTATGCAGCCAAATTTTCTGATATGATGCAAGTAGAAAGGTATCATTGGTTTTTCAAACTGAAGCTTAATCCGAGGGTTGAAATGTTTGTATGGAGATTATGTATGAATGCAATTCCAACTTCATATTTTCTATTTTCTAGAAGATTAGGTTATTCTAACCTTTGCCCAAGAGGTTGTATAGAAGTGGAGAATATTGATCATTGCATCGCAACTTGTCCGAAACTGCTAAAGGTTATTAGACTACTGAATTCATTGGGATTTCCTATTCCTTGCTTCAGATCTTTCCTGGAGTGCTGGAACAAACTAAAGGATAAAGCGGTAAGAGATACTTTCTTGCCTATAATTTACTTTATTTTGCTTTTTCATTCATGGCTGAATAGGAATAAAGAAAAACATGGAAATGTGGAAGAAAGTAATGTCACTATTGCCTCTAAAGTCATAAGTTTTATGGCTTCTTCTCATAAAGGCAATACCATATTGGGCAACTGGGGTACTAATCAGTTTTCTAGACTGATAAATTTTTGGTACCCTCCTCCACCCAATTGGTTGAAAATAAATATTGATGGATACTTACACAAGTCTAGCAAAGATAGAATTGGAGGAGTTATAAGATATTGCAAAGGCAGATTTCTGATGGCTTTTGGATGTGGATTTGTTCATTGGGACAGCGCTCAGGTTGAGCTATTGGCTTTTAAATCCTTGAGAAAATTTATTCAAAATGGATGCTTGAGGCAAATGGTATCATTATAGAGGGAGATAACTTAAATGTTATCAAATTTCTCCATAATTTGTACAGCTCACCGAAGAAGAGGAGAAATGATCAAATAAATGAAGACCTTCTTTTCATGAAGAATTTCAGCAATGTTATTTTTAGATTTGTGAATAGAAATTTTAATAAGTTAGATAATTATTGTGCTAACTTAGCTTGTGAATACAACTTCTTATGGGATGTAATTAGTGATAATAATATTCCTCCTTCATTTGTTCTTTTATTGAAGGAGGAATGTGATAGTTTGCTTTGATGTATTAGTTTCTTTCTAGGAATCTTAATGCAATTTTGCATTTCTTCAAAAAAAAAAAATAATGCATACATAAGTATCTAATAAGCCATCCAGCTCATCCCTATAACTGCTGATGCTACTTGCTGGAAACTACTTAACGAACTCATGGGTCCACCTACATAAGCATAGAAAAGAAAATTAATTTATGTTAACTAAGGCAAAATGAAATAAATTAAAAATTAATGCCTGATAAAATAGAATACATATATCCAACACTAAGGCCATCCAAGCTAACATGTTGCAGGACATGAAGTGTAGAATGTCTGACATTTAGTCGCTCCCAACACCAAATCTGAAGCAAAT